AAAACTCGAACCAACGCCTGTTAAACATAACTTGAGCTAAAATTGAGACTTGTAACACCTTAAAGCTAGGAAAACCATCAAAAGCCAATCTCAACACGCATCAAATGCGTGTCTAAATACGGACTTATCATCCTTCAAATGCAATCCATATTGGAACTATTGGGGACTCGACATCAGATCTGAATTGTGGCGTCCATTTAGAAACCATCATCAAGTAGCCTTGTATTGTCCATTTACATCTCAACCAACCCCTTTGAAAGTCATCCTCAGAATCAAATCGCAAAAGAACATGCCTAGGGGCTAGGAGACCTAATTGAAAAGAGTGCTTAAACCCAATGGATTCAAGAGCTTTACGAATCACATCCAATTTAGGCCTGCCTTTAACAAAAGATCCAAGCAGAGAGAAATTGTGTTTACGAGCCAGAATGTCTACCTCCTCTTTAGAGAATTCCACTGATGGCATTCCCTTAAATCTGGAGGGAGGTTTGATCGTAATATCTTCGGTGTTTGCTCCTGCCAAAACCAATGCAAAAGAACGAAGAGTGGAAGGGTCAGGCGGCTTAGCCACCGGTAGGGTTTTACCGATCATGGAAAAACCCAACGCAACTCTCTCTCTCCGGTTGCAAAGTTGGGTTCTGAGGGATTTTTTTCTTGGAGGCCAGGTAGTCCTCTGCCTAATGGGCTTCTAGGTGCAATTAATTTATTGCTGTTTTGGTTTTGCAAAATGTTTGTTTTTTGGCTTTATGTGTTAAGGGATTGCCCTTTGGAGAGGTTTTGGTCTGGTCCCTCTCTCTACATATTGTGGTTCTGATGTTTTGGAATAATAGTATGGCAAATGACCCCCGACATTTGTCCCACAGATTTTGGTGGTTTCCTTTTGTGGTGGCTGGTGAAGCCAGATTTCTTATTTGTAATTTCTTATTTTTTATTTAGAGTAGCAAGTGCAGCAAAACTGTTACACTAGACTGCATTATTACGGGGTTAGCGATCTTGAAGGATTCATGAGATCTTTTCTGTTCAAAGTCTCATCTCATTGTAGCCTTAGGCTATTCATGTACTTGTTTCTTTGCTATTATTTGATATGAATAAACTTGTTATTTGATATAAAAAAGGAAAAATTCACAACATTAATCCCACCTATTGAGGTTCTTCCAAAAATAATCTCAAATATAAGTAATTCAAATATAATCTAATCTACATGGGGTATCTTCTCAAAATGAACCGCTAACCTGAATGAATCAAGTCATCAGGTCACCTGTCCATGTGTCTTATTCTGATTGGCTTTATACATTTCTAATTTTTTTTAATTCCTTTTCTTTTTATCTCTTTCCTCTTCAGAAAATGCAGCTCCCTCAAATCCTTCTCTCCATCTTCCTATTAGCTCACCGCTTTTCGCCCGTCTCCCCCTTTCTTCTTCCGATCTGCCCTATTCCTCTCAAAATGTTCATGGATTTCCGGCCTACTAATTTAATTTACAATTCCGCACTGTCCTCCACCAGTTGTTCTTTGATGCCGGCCTCCGTCCATCTCAGCGTCGCCATCCTTCCGGTCATCAAACTGGCTTAGTCTCCATGATACGTAAGTAGACTATCATTCAAATTTTTTCGTTGCCCATGATGAGCCATGTCAAATTTCAGTTTGGATTGTCCAAATTAACTTTTCCAAATCTGAAATTGAAAGAAAGGTGAACAAATTTGAGCATGCTCGAAAACCTAAATAAAAAATGAACTTGAAGGTGAGAAAGAGATATTCACGTGCGGTAAAGAGAAAAAAAGAAAAGAGCAGAAGAGAACAATCCATGGGTAGGGCAAACCTGGATCCAGAAACCATGTGTGCAATCCAAGCCATTCAAACAACTCTTTCTTGAGTGTAACGCCCTCATGCCCGTCGATTGCACATTTGCATATGATGATCTTAATGGAAAGAAGAAGAAGAAGAAGAAGAAGAAGAAGAAGAAGAAGAAGAAGAAGAAGAAGAAGAAGAAGAAGAAGAAGAAGAAGAAGAAGAAGAAGAAGAAGAAGAAGAAGAAGAAGAAGAAGAAGAAGAAGAAGAAGAAGAAGAAGAAGAAGAAGAAGAAGAAGAAGAAGAAGAAGAAGAAGAAGAAGAAGAAGAAGAAGAAGAAGAAGAAGAAGAAGAAGAAGAAGAAGAAGAAGAAGAAGAAGAAGAAGAAGAAGAAGAAGAAGAAGAAGAAGAAGAAGAAGAAGAAGAAGAAGAAGAAGAAGAAGAAGAAGAAGAAGAAGAAGAAGAAGAAGAAGAAGAAGAAGAAGAAGAAGAAGAAGAAGAAGAAGAAGAAGAAGAAGAAGAAGAAGAAGAAGAAGAAGAAGAAGAAGAAGACTAGAGGCAAAGGCGTAGGATTGCTCGAGTCACGTGATTCTATCCGTTTACTTTCCTTTCTTTTTTCTTTTTTCTTTTTAATTTGTTTACCTGTTTAGCAAGTAGCAGGTCACCTGGGATCAATAGGAGAAGATTATCCATGAATTTCGGAGTATCCTGGAATTACACATTTTTGGGATTACTATGAGAAGACCCAGGTTTAATAAATTACAGGCGGGTATCAATTAATACAGTGTAGCGTTGGACATAGTGTTTTGTTTAATTAATACTCTCTCTTCCTCTGGCATTGTTTAAATAATCTCTCCTTGTCTCCCTCTAGCTCACAATTTAGTGCTACTTTTTGTTTATGAGTGATTGCGGGAAAAGTATTTAATTCATGCTTTGGAATAAGCCAGCATGGTATAGACATGGTTTTAGAGCCGAGTTGCTCATTCAAGATTGATGAATTCGGCTTACTTAAAAAAAATCCTTTAGTACTCATGTTCAATTGTGACTAATACTAAACTAAAAAGGATTATTCTCAGAAAGAAATAATCAAATATCATACAAACAAAGGATTGATTTAAAGGAAACAAGTTCAACTAACAAGGAATTAAATATGAGATCTTTCTCACAAAGCAAGTTTTCAAATAAAAGAACTTTTCAAATTTCAAAATGGATGTTCAATACTTACAAGGATACATCTTCCAAACCATCTTCATGCAATAATGAAACATCTTCAAAATAAAAGGACGATTTTCTAAAGAGGATCATGGGCAAAACATCTTCCTTGCAAAGATCACAAGAAAATTTTATGCGCAATATTATGTCTTTAATTTTTTAGTGTATATTAAAAAGGAAGCTATTTTTAAATCACATATGTGTGCATATTGCTTTCCAAATAAAGAGGATCGGGAATTTTTAAGTGCACATCAACACGTAGCAAATCACGAAATAACACATTCAAAGAGATTCGAGCTCAAAGTGAAGAATCGATCTTTAAAAAGGAAGGATACAACAAAGGATACTGCGGCTATAAGGAAAGTTCTTAATTTCATAAATTCGTGATATCTCATAGCTAGACATCAATATAAATACCCAACCTCATGTAGGGAAAAAAGTGTTTGAAGTGTGACAAAATTTTGCTCGTAAAGGAGAGTCGGACACATAAAAGATGCCTTAGAAGATAAAGTTCAACCACTAATAGTTTATTAAGTGTTTCCATTCGTTGTTTTTTTTATCATAATATCATTACTGTATTGTGTTACAGAAGAACGTTTGAGAATCTTTTCTTCAAGATTTGGGTATGACATGAGGAGTTTGTTGTAGTGTCCAGAGATTCCTTATTCAAAAGATAAGGTAGCAAGAATTCCATCTAGAGAACTTCGAGTTGGGGTGACTCAGAGGTAAACTAGTTTATCTTGTTACATATTTTTAAAGGCTTTTTGGTGAAATGTTTTGAAATTACTTTGAGGTTTGTTGAAGTTTTTTAATCCCTCTTGAACCAAAAGATTTTTCCTCGTTAAATTCGTGTATCTTGAATTTCTACCAAGTCATTAGCAATTCTGTCTAAAGAGAGACATAATTGTTCTGTTGTGGCAGTCGATTAATCTATTACTTACAATAGCAAATTCTAAGAACAATTTGTCTACAGGAGTACTCTAAATTCCTAATTTGAACAACATCATCAAAATTGAAATATAATTTATTCCTTACAGATATCACTTGTGGATCGTTGCGCTTACCGCTACATCAAAAGCAATTGCTGATAGTGTAGCACGTCTTTCCCCCTTTATAGAACAAGCAAAGCGCCATGTTTCAATTGCACGAGCAGGTTTGCAGACTACTAGCACCGCATATCCGCGGCCCAACAATCTTCCCCATAGATACCATTTGTAGATCGTTGCGCTTACCGCTACACCACTTGGTAAATTTGCTTTTGGTATAGCTATAATACCCGAGATTAATTTAAGAGGATTAATATTACTACTCATACCAACAAAGGTGCATCTTCTTTTAAGGGAGCTCATCACCCAAGAACTCCAAAGTTAAGCGTGCTTGCACGGGAGTAGTCTTGGGATGGGCGACTCCCTGAGAAGTTTCTCAGGGCACGCACGAGTGAGGACAAAGTGCGCAAGCACGAAGATCCACAACCTAAAAATTCACATATACCTCTAAGCTCAGTTTAGACAAATATTTGCTTTATATTTTTGTAGTATGTTTAGTCTCCAAATGAAGAGCTAAACCCTTCCATCTTGGTTTTGCTACATTGAAGCTTGTGTTTTGTAAGTTGTGAGTTATTTTCTTTAATCATCTTCTCTTGAATATTAAATTATTAATTATATTCCTATTTTATATCTCATATTAATATTTGAGCATTACTTAAAGGATCAATTAGTTTGGTTTCATATATTAATTATTACTAGAACTAATCGACAGATACACTTGTTATTCGTTCGATCCTTTCAACGATGTAAACATGAATTATTAATGTATGTGTCTCATAGTTAATATTCGAAGGGGGATTGCTTATATTGACTAAACCAATCAATCGCTTGTTTTGAGGTTGTTAATCTCAATTGATTTCATGTTAAGTTTTATTGCTACTACTATCCGTGTTGTATATTGACTATATAGTAAGTTTTATTAACGAACGTGTCTCGTTAATTATAATAGCTACCCCGATGAATTGGAAATAACCCATGATTGAGTATTATATTCGATAGGATTATAGTTAAAGATATAACCGGGATCGACGAGCATTTCACTAAGTGAAATCAAGCAAAACCAAGTTTCTATTTCTGATCTATTATTTTAAATACTCTTAAAAGGAGGATATTACTTTCTATGTGGATACGATCCTTACTATGCTATACTGCCGTATTAGTGCAAGTATTGAATTTATTTTAAGGCACACAATAACTTTAATGTTGTCAAACATCTACGATATTATTTGTTCCCATGGATGAGGTGTGAGTTGTTCATCTCAACTTGTTTTTTCATTGCTTTTAAAGCATCTTCAAAACATCTGGCTAGAACCTTGGGGTCAGGGATGATATCTTTGGCAACCAAAATTTGCAGGTCTGCTCTCCCGTCGTAGCTCACCATATATATTGCGATCGCCTGCATGCATGCATGGATGCTGCATTATTAATACCCATCTCCAAAATTGAACCTCAGTTACAGCATATATATATATATATATATATATATATATATATATATATATATATATATATATATATATATATATATATATATATATATATATATATATATATATATATATATATATATCATTATGTAATTCTAATACTCTGTCCATTTCAAATGAATTTAAAAAGTAGTTAACAAGGTTGATTGAAGATATGTTGTAATTATAATATTTCATGGGTAAATAATATGTTGGAGTTAGTAAATGTTTTTATTTGTTTAGACACTAAATCAAATGTTCTGTTGAGTAAAACATAGGTAAAGTTCAAAGATATGACTAAACATGTTTTCTTTCACAAATATAATTTCTTTTGTCGAGTTAAAAGAACAAAAGTTTCCCTAAATAAGAGTACATATAGATCCTGTTACGGAAATAAAATAATGATACTCATATTTGTGAAAATTCACTACGGTTTACTACTATTATGGAATTTTCATTTAACAATACTACCTATGTCCTACTTAAGTTTCTCATTAAAAAATGACATGATTATTAAGACAATAATTACATAAGTTAAATAAAGTGTATTTTGAAATTTAGTTTTGATGAGTATTAATCGAGGTCATTGATAATAATTGTAATGTTATATATGTATTATTTTTCATACTTGGTGATTAATTTGTCATTTAGGAGTAATAATCATTTCATCAAATATAAATCAAAAGCTTTAGTTTGAACATTCAAAATATGCACATGAAAAGCTTAAACTAGGACAGAAGGAGTATATGATACATGATGCACTAGTAATATTGCACATACATGAGGCAAGCTTGATGTGACTGTTCTTATGTAGGTGACAGGGTTGCCTGCAATGGAGATCTCCTCTTGTGGGCCCATCACATTTGAAATTAGGAACGTTGTGTTACATATGATCCGATAGTTGAGCATGCTCGCTAGCTATATGCAACAACTTGAATCAGAATTGAAACATTGGATGCATGCATGCAACAATGCAAATGCATCTAATATTATAAAACTAAAAAAATATGGATGTACAAACTAAAGTAAATGGCACCTTAACACCGAGGAAGGACATGACGAAATCACCAATTTTGTAAGAGCAAAGGGCTTCTAAGGATAGCTTTTTCTTGTCAATCATAGATTTGGCTCTCTTGACAAATTGGAGAGGATCATTAGAAGCCTTGTGAAAGTAATACACTGGTAAAAGCATATACCCAATTTTGTTACCCCATTGGGTACCCGATTTACCGCTACTCATCAACTTCGTCATATCCTGCGCACACACACATACCGACACAATCGTGTCAGACAACCATGCGACATGTAAATTTTCTCTGTAATGTACTTGCAACGGTGGATTTACACTATGGTTGTATATGGTGGTTTGGAGATTGGGGGAAGTTAATTCTTTTTAAAGTTTTTGTCATTTTTAATTTTTTAATTTGTAGTCCTTCAACTTTTAGTCATCGACAAGAAAATTACTCACATTTAGTTCATTGAGTATTGTCAAATCGACATTTTTTGTCCTTCCACTATGATTTTAACACATATGGTGGAAGACAAAAAATGTCATTATCGTAATAGTTGGAAGACCAAATGTGTCACTTTTATAATAGTTGAAAAACTAAATATGTTTTTTTTAAAGATGAGTACCAAAAGTGTCTTTCACTTCACACAATAGCCATAGGAATAAAAGTAGAAATATCCAAAGTCGAGTATAAAAAATGTCAATGGCACTATAGTTCGAGGATTAAGAATGTTTTTACTTGAATTGTTTCAGTCCTAGACCAGACCATACAAAATCAGACCAGTCAAGATTAAAACAGACCAGACCAGACTAGACTTGGATAGTTATAAAATACACAGAGACCACACATTTACCAGACCAGACTAGAAAATTTCAGTCCAAGTAAAAACATCCTAAGAATGACAAAACTCATATTTTAAAGTTGTAGGATGTTTTTACTTGGACTGAAATTTGTTGATATAGTTTGGTCTGTTCCGTTCAAGTCTGGTCTGGTCTGAACCGGTCTGGTAAATGTATGGTCTCTGTGTATTTTACAACTAAGGAAGTCTGGTCTGATCTGGTCTGTTTAAGTCTGATCTGGTACTCTGGTTTGGTGTGGGACTGAAAATAATCCGCCTGTGTCTACTTGACTACTTGCCTGTGTATATAACTCCCTAGTTTATAATAATGTACTACCTTCGTTCTCTTTTAATTGCAACATTGGACTTTTTTGCACTATTCACATATTCTACTTTGACTATTTTTTTGAAAGGAAACAAACTTATATTAAATCAACCAAACAAGAGTAACAACCATGTCCCAAGACCTAAATCTCACTCTCTCCAAACAATACCAAAGTCCAGTGGCCCACCCACGTCATGACCAGACATAGAATAGCCCGCCCCGAAAAGAGCGAGACTGGTCGCTGAAACAGTGAGAGCACAAAGGCTATTAGCGACTGAATCAGCCTGATCGCCTCTAACCAAAATTCTACGTGCTACACAAAACCAACGCACATACCCTACCCCCTTATTGTACGAAGAAATAAAGACACAAACAACAAGCAAATTCAGTCTGAAAAGAAATAAGCAAAAAAAGTAAAACTTCAACCGTTGGATCTCTTTTTCATCCACTTCTTCTGAATCCACAATCCATGGTGGCGGCTCAGGAGGGGGGCGAATCACTAATACTTCATCCTCTTCCCCACCATTTGTCCTGGACATCACGGATTTTGTTATTCCTTCCCATTCGACACCGAGGACACGCCCCTCTCGGGCCAATCTGCCCCGAACTCTTCTCAAAACTTGCCTCCATTCTCGAGCCAAAACTGCCGAAAGAGAGATGACTAAAGATCATGAACACCTAAGCTCCGCAACTTGTCCTGCGCGAGAACACTGCAGCTTCAATGAAGATGTGTCGCCTATTCCTCGCTGCGTACACGAATTGTCGAGCGATTGGGAAATCACCGACCCCAAGTTGATCGCCGACTAAACCCTAGAGAGATTCTCTCTCTAGGCGGCGCACATCAGTATCCAATTTCTTCGCATAAATATCTATTACTCGTTTTTCACTTCTGACTAGTGTTGGAAGTATGCCCTAGGACAATCATACTTTATGATTTATCAATGAATATTTAATGCTCATTAATTAATAAAGTCACAAACTCATTTTATGTTAATTATTATCGTGAGTTTTTTTATTAATATTTAATCCCTGAATATTATGTTTAGTAGCTAATTAAGTACGTGACTTAATTGTGGAATGCTACACTTTAAAATAAACATAATATTCTAATTGTCCTTGATCTAATATTATTAATTTGGGACATTAATAATTAATAGACCAGTATGTGGATTAACTGATGGCTATATTCCACTAGTCATGAGTATAAAGATATCAAGTTAATAACATAGATGATTGTTAGTGAACAAGTTCATTGGACAGACCCAACTTGAGGACACTGCTGGGTTATATGTCATCAGTGTTGTCCTCAATAGTGATGAGGTGCTGTTACTTGCATGTGAATTAATGTGTATTAACACCATTAAATGTTATCTTTAAACGGGTAATTATAAAGGTGGTGATTGTACATATTATGAACCATGTAGTGGTATGTGAATTATCAAGATAGTTTTTGTCACTCTCGTATAGCGAGAGAAAGATGTCTATTGGGCCCCTTGACAAGTAAGATTAATTAGCATGACCATGCTCAAATGAGGTGTCATTTGTTCAAGATTAATCTTACTTGGTAATCAAGAAATATTAATTAAGAATAACAAGGATGACAAGACCTAACCTTGTCTCAATTAAGATATCATTTGACAAAAGAGAATTATTAACACAAATTAATCATTAAAAGGTTATGTCAGATTTAATTGACATTTATATATTTTGGATAGTCATAATGCCTTGCTAGCTAGAAGCCGCTTATGATTTGTGAGGCTTGAATTAATTTTCTAGCCCACTGCCAACGATGTATAAACCTACAGGGTCACACACCTAAGTAATTTGGATCATTAATGTTCGTTAATAACATTAAAATAGCCTGATTAGCCCAATTCGAAGTAGGTTTTCGAATGGTATTGGGCTAGGGCCTCCAGGAGAGTTTTATTAGCTATAAAACTCTTTCTTTCCTCCTCTTATAAATAGGGCTAAGGAGACACGCGAATTTCAAGAGTTAAAATTCACATCTCAAAACCTACAGAGAGAGAAAGAAGAGAACGCTAGCACATTCCCTGTGGCCGATCCAGTCACGTGCGTGTGGATACCGGTAGAGCTCGGGATTGTTTTCTCGGACTGTCTGACATCCTTGTTTAAAATTGCTATGTAAGTCCCTCTTATATCTTGTAATTTCGTTTATAGTAAGAACCTCAGATCCGGTTGTTTACTTTGGGGCAATATTTTTTTGTTTATTCCGCTGCGTTTTTTTGCTCGAAACCCAACAGTGGTATCAGAGCCTACGGTTCTTTATTATATTCGGGTTACCTGATTTAATATATAATCAGTTATTTGATTATTTTGGGATTTTTCGGAATTATTTTTTATTAATTTCGGAATTAGTTTTTTATTAAATTCGGAATTTATGTGTATTTTATATTCCGTTTTTTTGTGAGGATGTGATATTCGAATATTTCGAATTTGATCCAATATATGTTCACAATTATATTTGGAATATTTTGTGATATTATTTATTATTTTTCGGATCAGATCTGAATGGAATTAGGAATTGGATAAAATCCTACTGCCTAATTATTCGGAAGAGATCTGAATGGACATGAAAATTCAATAGTTTGAATTGGATCCGAATTGATACTCATAATTTATGTTAAGAATATTTTATGATATTATTTGTTATTTTTCGGATCAGATCTGAATGGAATTAGGAATTGGATAAAATCTTACAGCCTAATTATTCGGAAGAGATCTGAATGGACATGAAAATTCAATAGTTTGAATTGGATCCGAATTGATACTCATAATTTATGTTAAGAATATTTTATGATATTATTTATTATTGTTCGGATCAGTTCTGAATGGAATTAGGAATTGGATAAAATCCTACTGCCTAATTATTCAGAACAGATCTTAGTGGATATCAAAAATTCAATTTTTTGAATCAGATCTGATTTATATTCAGAATATTATTTTAGTTTTAGGAGATTTGGTTTCTAATTTTTCGGATGAGATCCGAATTATTTTGGCAACCGCCGGCTAATGAGCTGTTTTTGTGGATCGGACAATCTTGTTTTGGCCGTAACTTTTGATTCGTTAATCCATTTCTGACCCATAAGTACTTTTCGGAAACGGGAAGACGAGCTCTACACAAATCAAGGCAATGCCGTGACAAATTCTCCCATATTATAATTCGAATGATTTGATCATGTGTTCTGCCAAATTCGAATTTAAGTTCATTATATTTTATTTGTAGTTATATATGTGTACTGATCTATATTACGGATATGATATGTATCTCTGTATATAATACGAATTATTTTAGAATTCATTAAAATATTACTTGCGGATTTTAAAATTTAATTTTCAATCTGTGCATGCGCAATTAGTTTGTTTCGTCACAGGGACAGTTTGAATTGGTGATATAGCATGATCCGAATGTATGTTTTATATTGTGTTGTTTTACGGCCTGCGTTTTGTTATTCCCAATATCCCCTGTATTGTTTTCAACCCCGTAGATATTTAGTAGTCTACTTCATAGGTTGAAGATGCCAAGGAGATATGAAGCATTAGGAGTCATACTATATCACTACACTAGTTTTAAATTATTTATTTAAATCTATGATTGCTGCATGTGTTTAATAATTAGTCCCTATTAATTATAAGTCTAAATTGTTTTCCCAATATGACCACCATTTATACTATGCTAGCCGTGATATGTGTCTGCCAAAGCAGAGCATTTCACACTATCTTAGGAAGATGTTTTGAATGATCATTATTCTCGAGTCTTAATATTGGTTTGGACTTACAAGGCCATCAAAATGGTTTTGGGCCTTGAAGCAAGGAATGTTTGGATAATCACATGATGCTGACCAAACAAACCAAGAGTCATATAGGATATGATTACCAAGAGTTGTTTACCTAAATAACTAATGTTTAAGTGATAAGCCAAAGCTTACTTAAATTTTAGTGAAATATGGATCTTGGACCACTATATTTGGGACTTTCTATTTAATATAGTGGGGGTTATTTTGAGCATTATTTAAAATTCTTTGCATGATTTGTTGTAGTTAATATGGCCACCAACACAACTT